CTCGTTTTGAAAATACTACGTGACTTCGGCCGAACCCCCCCCCTACCCCCCCGTGACCAATCGTAGTATTTTGCCAAACACCTCCCCCCCCCTAAAAGCGGTCACGTAGTATGGGTACGATCCCTTATCTTTCCATAACTTTTTGATGTTTGTTTTCATTTTACGACAATATCAACTCAACAACACATTTATATATTTTTCCTATCTATTTTTGTTTGCGTTTTGCTCTCATGTGGATCTCGGCCACGAATAAGCAGTGAGTAGTACGGAGCAAATTGTGTGACCCGTTGACCCGTTTCCCCGTGCCGACTATCTACGCGACGACCACTTGTCGAACAAAACTCTTCGATGGGAACAAATGTTCCGCGCTCGCGCTAGCTTCTCTGTCTTAGAGCAAATGACACACCCCCGTTGAAAATGACCATACCGACGTCTCTCTCTCTTTCGCAGGCCAACCGACTACCTGCCTACCGAGTCCCTTCGCAAGCGCAAAGGCGTTCGCGGCTGCGGGCCCCTGATGCCGTGCGGGCCGTGCGGGCCGTGCGGGCCGTGCGGGCCGTGCGGGCCGTGCGGGGTCTCGTGCGCGCAGCTCGGCCCTGGCCGCCGCTCGCCGCCCTCGCCCACGGACTCGCCCGTCAAGAGGCGGCCGCTGCACGGGGCCGCGGCTCACTGAGTCAGCCGTCATCACATATTTATTTACCTATACATAGCTGAACATAGTTTGAGTGTGTAAAGTTTGGAATCTATTTTTATGTGTCGCCTGTTGTCAATAAAGATGAAATGCATTGTCGAAAATGGCCGTCATTCGCTTTACTGGTAGGCGAGGGCGCGGCGGCGCGAGTCACTGTGACACACTCGTTCGGCAAAACACTCCACCGTGATATAGGATGAGGACATCCCACTTCAAAATAAAGGTAAACAAAACACGAAAATTCTGCGGACTGGCGGATTGGCACCGGAATTCGAAAAATCCGGGAATCCTCACCGATCGCCCTCTGGCGGGGATCTGCGATCTGTAGAAGCCGTTCAATGACAAATACAGTCGTTGAAAGACGGTTTGTAATGTAAAAGCATGCGATGAAAGTGATGAAATTTAAACTGCCGAGTCACGACAATTTCTTGGGGGAGGAGAAAAAGGGGGGGGGGAGGCGCGACGTGGAGGCCGACGCCCGGCAGAGAGAGCGGGAGCGGGCAGCCCAGGCGGCGCAGGTCAGTGCGGGTTTGTCCCCTCCTTGCTGG